GCCTCACGTATCGAGAATTGCCAGCTCAACATTGCTAGCTTCAATGCCCTCTCGCTTCTGCCTCCTAAAGCAGGCCAGGACAATACTCGTGAGGCTGGACTCGCCTTTCAGGTCGGCGCCCCGGCCATCCTGGCAGGACAACTGAAAGATCATGGCATCCACATTGCCATGATTCAGGAGGGCAGAAATGAGAAAGGAACCATACGAACAGACCCATACACAAGGTTCTGCTCAGGTGCTGTGAAGGGCCAATGGGGCGTCGAACTCTGGGTCCATGATGCCTCTTCAAACACACAGAGGTGTGCCCATCAGCTTAGTGAGCGCAATGCGGTTGTGCTGTTAGCCGACCCCCGCAGGTTGTTCGTCAGGTTTGCAGGCAAACCATTCAGCATACTTGCCGTCTCCTTGCACGCTCCCCACCGAGCATGTGAGTCCGGGCAGATCACTACCTGGTGGGAGGACACAATCAAAGCCATTCGCCATTTTCGGCGACAAGAAGCCCTTCTTGTGGGCGGGGACTTCAATGCCTCCCTTGGCAGTCGGGCCACTGAAGCTGTAGGACCCTTGTCTCCCGAGCCTGAAGACATAGCTGGAGAACATGTTCAACAGCTTGCCCTCGAGCAGGACTTGTTCGCGCCGAACACTTTCGACGCCTATCACGAGGGACCTACCTTTACATACCATCAAAAAAAAGGAGGCAAAACCTGTCGACCGGACTATGTTCTCATACCGCGTTCATGGCAAAAGGGACAGGTCAAGTCTTATACAGCCCCGCAGCTGCACGCTGGGCATTCTACCCAGGATCACATAGCCACCTGTGTTGCAGCCCACCTTCTTCTTGCCAATCCTGCTGTGAACGCTGCAACCAGGCGTCGCTCCATCCCTGTTGCCACCCTTGTACACCCCGACAGTCAGGAGGCGGTGCGCAAAGTACTCCGTGAGGCTCCCATTGTGCCCTGGCATACATCCGTACATGCCCACGCTGCCCTCCTTACCAGACATGTCCAAGAGGGACTACAGGCAGCCCTGCCACGTGTCGCGTCAAAACCCAAACACCGCTACTTGCAGCCAGACACCTGGGAGTTGCAACGTAGTGTCTCCAAACTGCGACATGCATTGCATCACCGGCGGCAGCTTCTTGACCAAGTGCGACTTCGAGTTGCATTCCAGGTGTGGCAATCCCGCTATGCTACTTTTGAACATCAGTTCCTGTTCAACAGCTGGGTCCTGCAAGCCCTGTTCCTGCCGGAGGTTCAAGTCCAACATCTAGCGGCCACCTCCAAAGCGCTTCGGAGTGCGTGCAAAAGGGATCGCGATGCCTACTTTAGCGGGCTCGCTGATCAGCTTGAGCATGGCCCTGTCAACGAAGTTCATGGCAATCTCCACCGTCTGTTGTGCCATAAACGGAAAAAGGCCTATGCTCCCGAGCCCTTGCCAATGCTTCGCAAACCCGATGGCACAGTATGTGCTGACACTGCAGAGCGTTTTGCTACATGGAGGCAACACTTTGGCAGCCTCGAAGCAGGTCAAGAAACCACTTTCGCCACAATTGCACGGCGAGCACACTCTGGAGGCCTAGCACGACCGTCGGTGCACCCACACTGCATCTCAGATGTTGCTAGTCCAGCTTTCTTGCAAAGCTGTCTCCGGGCCACAAAGCCTCATAAGGCTCCCGGACATGATGGGCTCCCGCCGGAGCTTTGCCAACAGTTTGCAGCTGACCTTGCGATGCTGTTGCACCCCCTCTTCATGAAAATTGCGTGGCGAGGAACCGAGCCAACTGGCTGGAAAGGTGCATCATCCGTGTACTTCTATAAGCAGCGAGGAAGTCACGCTGAGTGCGCATCGTATAGATCGGTGCTCCTCTTGAATACGTGGGCTAAGGCCTGTCACAAGTGTCTTCGACCGGCTCTGAAGACCCATTTTGAGTCTCATTCTTCCCCCTTACACCTGGGCGGTAAGACGGGATGTTCTGTGACCTTTGGTAGTCACCTTGTCAGGACCGTCGTTAGATGTGCCACGGAACAGAAACTGCCAAGCTTTGTCATTTATGCTGATATAGCCTCCGCCTTTTACAGCGCAGTGACTCAGCTTGTGGCATGCCCTTTCTCTAGCAATGCGAGTCCCGACTTTGAGGCCCTAGTCGCCAAGCTCAAGCTCACCACCTCGGAGCTTGATGCGCTACGGACTCACCTGAGCAGTGACCCTGCCATGCTTGAGCAAGGAGCGACACCGTGGCTCCAAGAAGTTACCGCCCGCATGTCAATGGATAACTGGTGGGTGCTACAGGGTGATAGCACGCCTGTTTTAACCATGCGAGGCACCCGACCTGGCTCCTCGTTTGCTGATTTGGTATTCGCCCTTCTGATACCAAAGATACAGCGTCTTCGGGACAGCCTTCGAGCCCAGCAGCTCGCCGGGAGCTCTGCTCCGGCTTTTCCTTGGGATGGTGAGTACAGCTTCCAGCCATGCTCCGCTACCACCACCATTGAGGTCAGTGATGTCATCTGGGCAGACGACATAGCTGTCCCTCGTATCTGTCACCGCTGTCATGACCTTCGGGCAGCAGTCGCTTCAGAGACAGGAGCCCTCACAGACTCCTGTGGGGAACATGGCCTCCATCTTGCATATGGCCCCCATAAAACGGCCGCTGTGGTTACAGCCAAGGGCCCGGGATCGCGTAAAGTGCGTAAAGACCTGTACGGCCCTGAGGATGGGCGTGGCACCGTTGATGTGCTCAGGGAGCATACGTACAGGGCGCAGCTTCCGCTTGTTCATTCTTACAAGCACCTAGGTACGCAACAGATGCCTGCGGGAGCCCTCTCCCTGGAGATTCGGTACCGCGTAGCTCAGGCAAGGGCAGCTTATAGTGAGGGGCGACGCAAAGTCTACAAGAATCGACAAATAGGGATCCGACGGAAGTGTTTCATCCTGCGCTCCCTAGTCCTTTCAAGGCTCACCCAAGGAGCAGGCTCGTGGCCTCCTTTGCCGCGCCGAGATAAGCAAGTCTTTGACACTGCGGTCTGGCATTTCTACCGAGGCGTGCTCTGCATCCCGTGGAATGCAGCGCAGGACCTCTCCGCGCTTGCTTGTTATGCCCTCACAGGATTGCCATCCCCGGACACGCTTCTGCGCACTTGTCGCTTGCAATACGTCTGTCAACTTTGTAGGGCGGGCCCCGACCCGCTGTGGGCCGCGCTTCGAGCCGATCGACCCTTTTCCGAGTTCCTCCTAGCCGATCTTCGATGGATGCACGGTTGGCTAGCGACCACCTCGGACTTGGGACAACCGGACCGATTCTGGAGCTCCTGGCTCCAAATGATCCGCGACTGCCCTGGGCGGTATAAAGGCCTTCTCAAGCGTGCCTGCCGGCTAGATCAAGCACGACTTCAATATGCCGCCGCCCTTGATGGTTTGTATCGGGCTATCCTCACACACTGCAAGCATCAGAACCCTGCTCCCACTGCAGCCTCCTTGTGCCCCGAGATGTGCATCCCTTGCAAGCGAGCCTTCAAGGATAGAGTATCCTGGGCGGGACATGCTGCCCGCTGCCATGGATATAGATGTAGGGCCCACTTGGTTGGAGACGGGACTTTACGCCGTGCTTGTGGCAAGCGCTTTGCCACGCAACATCGACTGAGGCGACATTTGATAAGTGTGCCTGCCTGCATTCGGGACTGGGGATCCTTCTGCCCCGCCAATCCTGATACGGCCAAGCAAGCACTGCATCTTCTGGCTCCGCCCAGCGTTGCTGCCGGCACTTTCGAGCCATTACCCGCTCGAACAACCTCGGAAGGTGTCTCAGACCTCCTCCTCGACCGTCTATCTGAACTTGTGGACAGCGATGAGTCAGAGGTCTGGGCCATCATCTCTGAGCACATTGAGCCGCTCCAGGTCTTGAGAAACACCGTTGAAGTGTGGAGGTCGCAGCACCCGAACAGTTCATGGCACTGCGAAGTGTCCGAAAACATGTGCTTGCTCCTTGACCCGGAAGTATCGGCCGAGGTATTCCCGGATGGAACCAGGATCTCTCGCCCATCCCAGTCTGCACTACCGCAGTGGAGCACTCCCCGTGCCCTGTGTTTTGCTCTGTCTGGTGATGTGTACTGCCGAGAGCTCCTGCCGCCCCCGGATGGCACCCTACAGATCGACACTCCTACTAGCATCCCTCTGCGAACCGGAATCGGCATAGCCGAATGGGCTGAGGTTGCATGCAAAGTAGAGGCTGAGTGTGTCGCCATTGCGCCACGTCAACCTGTGCAATTGCATTGTCCTGGTCTCTGGACTTGCATTCCTATTGTACATGAGTGGTGCCTTGCTTTGGGCTTTCACTGCTTCGACAGCGGTCTTTGCTCCCCGAATCTGTAGGGTAGTCATGTGCTCAGTCCTTTTCAGTCCTTTTCAGTCTCACAGAATTCATTTTCTTGCTAGGCGTGCGTCTACCTCAGACTCCATCGCTCCGAATGAAAAAAAATAAGTATATACAGATGTACGTTTATAAGTACACGCATAGTATCACATAGTATGTGTACATACACATATATATATATATACACAATCAAATTAAGATCGATCGAGTATGAGTGCAATGCAGATCGGAACGCACATGAACG